TTTACTTCGTGAAGACAAAATGGCGGCGGGAAAAAAAAATTGAGGGTTGCTGTAGGAGAGTTGGTCGCCAAATTTTCGCCAAAAAAATGCCAAGTTACCATAATGTAAAGATCAACCGACAATTTTCTCAATCTTTAAACCCGGTAAAAAGAACATATATGAAATTACCTGATCGCGAAAATGTAATGAACCTTTCCACATATAAAATAAATAAAATATCCAAAACCTTTTACCTCTAAATCATCTATTACATTATACATGTCACCAACGAATTCATACCGCAAGCATTACAAATACTTAGTGTCAGATATTTAAATTATTTCCATGCACGTTTACTTCAACTAAAACGTATACCAAATTCCTACAAACATAAAATTCACAAAATAACTATCATTTAATTAAAATATAATTAAATTCAAAAACACTACTTTAAATATAAATGAGCACATACATTAAATTAATACATACATAAATACCCATTTCGAATTCACTTTAGTTATGGCCATGGGATCCAAAAATTCACGAACACTGTTTCACACAACACGGAATAAAGCCAAATACAAAATTTCCAGATTTTTTCCCGATTTCTCCCCTTTTCCGATTAAAGAACCGTAATTCGTCCATTAATATCACATAACATATCCCATGATCTCTCATTTCCCTCACACAAAATAATGCGTAATCGGAACTGAGTACTGCTCACATTATTACCAAAGTGCCAGGTAGTAACCTTTATCGCCTCCAAAATGTTGCCAAACTACCAGTTACCATATTGTAAAGATCAACCGAAAAATTTCATGAAAATGCATGACAATTTTCTGAATCTTTAAACCCGGTAAAAAGAACATATATGAAATTACCTGATCGCGAAAAAGTATATACCCTTTCCAAATATGAACATTTCCACGTATAAAATAAATAAAATATCCAAAAACTTTTACCTCTAAATTATCTATTATATTATAAATGTCACCAACGAATTCCTACCGCAAACATTACAAATACTTAGTGTCAAATATTTAAATTATTTCCATGCACGTTTACTTCAACTTAAACGTATACCAAATTCCTACAAACATAAAATTCACAAAATAAATATCATTTAATTAAAATATCACTAAACCATGTACACGTCGACTTATTTTTACTTAAAAAAACATCCCAGAATTGCACAAAAATGGCATTGCGTACACTCTTCACTATATCCATGTACACTGCTTTTTTCACATAAATTAGAAAAATTTCACGAAAATGCATGAAAATACTCAACGTATTCCAAAAATACTACAAACATATAACTCACAAAATCACGATCATTAAACTAAAATATAATTAAATTAAAAAACACTACTTAAAATATAAATAAGCACATACATTAAATTAATAAAAATTAGATTACAATCCTAATTACTTTAAACTAAATCATTGGAAATAAGGAGTCCTTACATTTAGAAGAATGCATAAAAATAATATCCTCAAATGATTAAAAATACTAACTTACCTAATCTTCAGAATCTTCATTACGTGGCACGCACACTTCCACTATTTCACACAACACACAATGAAGCTTAATACAAAATAATATAGTACTATAGTTTTCCAAATTCCCCCCCCTTTTCCGATTAAAGAACTCTAATTCATCCATTAATGTCACATGACATATCTCATGATCTCTCATTTCCCTCACACAAAATAATGCGTAATCGGAACTAAGTACTTTTCACATTATTACCAAAGTCCTAGGTAGTAACCTTTATCGCCTCCAAAATGTCGCCAAACTACCAGTTACCATATTCCAAAGATCAGCCGAAAGAACAACATTGTGTCTGGCATAAATTTAATTGCAACTATATAGATTTCGAGGACGAACAGGTTCAAGTCCCTCTTCATCAGGAGAAAATTTTTTATGTAAATACGGTCGCAGCTGCTACCTTCTTTGCATATTTTAAAAAAATTTTATATTGGTATAAATATGGTCGTGATTCTACTCTTCTTCGCAGAATATTTTTGCTTCCGATGAAGAGGGGCCTGTATCTGTTTCCTTTCCGCCCTCGAAATCCAGTGGCGTAGGTAAGGTGAGGGAAGGAGGGACAGCTGTCCCCGGGCGCCACTGCATCCAGGAGTCGCAGAATAGATTTTATGAAATTTTAGAATTAACCTTAGTACACAGAAAAGGGCACAAAATCTTCAGTTGTTCCCGGGCGTTGAAAACCCTAGCTACATTTCTCTCAAAATCGATAAAGTTTCAATTTAATCTTTGCCAAAGACAAGGTTATTCTTTTGCCTAATTTTATGTTATGTTGTTTGGATTTAGGCAAAGCAAAAAAAGCCTAAAGGAGGATGGATACCTTCGCGGAGGACCTTTTAAGGGAAATAAGCTTATATTTACGTTATACATGAAGTAAACTACGAAAACTTGCATGCCATTCACTGGGATTATAAACTTTATCGAACGACCAGTGTTCAGTGATATTAACCCTTGGCTGCTGAGGGGCTGTCAGGTTAAGTAAAAAATGAAAAAAATTGGGGGAAAAAAAAAAAAAGGAAAATCGCAAAGCAACGCTGCATTGCCAAATATTGCCATGACGTTACATTTTTAACTACGTTTGTATAGCAGTTCATTAACTAATTATTTTAACCGCTATTTATTTTTATATGAATAGATTCACATACATTTTTAGCTCAAAGGGGCGTTAACGCGGAAGAGCTATTAGTCTCGCAATGGCATTTTGCAGTCACTAAAAGCATTGAATCACTTCCTATTGTTGCCACCAAATATTATCATCCTGTTTTATTTTTGAAAAGAAATTAGATAATGAAGAATCTGCATAAAAGTATATATGTTTCACGCATTGTGAAAAAATAACGGTACCTAGAACCATCAAGTTTTGAATAACATAGTCCTCCACCCGAAGATAAGCACCTGGAAGCCCGAATTTTGAATTTGTTTTATTATCTATTTCTCATTTTGTAAAATTTTAACGAATTTTTGATTAAAAAACTCAATGATTTTAAAGACAGCAGTGGCAACACTGTAAGGAATAAAACATTATCTGCAGCACGCGAGATTTTTTATTGGAGATTCTAAAGATATGTTGGTTTTAAATATTTTTAGCCCCAATGCTCTAGAACCAGTTTTCAAAACGTGTATTTGTGTGTGAATGTGAATAAAAAAAAAAAAAAAATGGCCCCTTTGGTTATAATATAAAATATCCGAATTTTTAGTCCTACTGGGCAATTTGCCCAGAACGACTATTAATTTCGTTTTGATATTTTGCGCTGATTCACTACAAGCGTTGTTTCATTTTTCAAATTGTTGCCACTGAATATTATCATCCTGTATTATATTTAAAGACATCAAATAATGAAGAATGTGCGTAAATGTATGCATGTTTCTCGCATTGTAATAATGCAGCAGTGAGAAAGACATCAAATTTTGACTAATGTAATCTTCCACTGATTATGGTGCTGGAATTTGTTTTATTATCAATTTCATATTTTGTAACACTTTTTTGAACAAATTCTTGATTAAGAAACTCAACAATTTCAAAGTAAGCAATAGCGAAAAAAAAAAAAAACACTCCGGCACGCGAGACTATATCGGAAATTCTAACGGTATGCTCATTTTAAAATTATTTTGCGATATTGCTGGTGAATTGAATTTTATGGTTTAAGTGCAAAGTTCATGTATTTAATAAATAAAGGTAACACACAAAATGTAAAAAAAAAAAAAAAAAAAAAAAAAAAGAGAGCCCTTTGAGCATAATTTAAAATCTGAAAGCTATCAGATTTTGTAAGTTTTTTTTTTTTTTTAAACAAATTCGTAGTCAAAGAGTTAAGCTAAACAATTATTATTAATCTGCAATATTCTTTCTTTTTAATTGGGTTATTTCCCCTTTCCACTTAAAAAATAGTAACTGCTTATTAATCGCTCTAAATGCATCATCTGCAAATTAATTCACTTGGAATGTGAACGATATAAACATAAATGTACATAACGTTAACAATGTGTATTCGTATAAATGTGTGGTGTTATGTAGTACATTGAAATATCAGATAATAACAATACAATATACAAGTAAAACTAACACAATTAGACTGAACATATCAGTGCCAGATGTGTCGTAAATTTATCATTACTGAGCTATGTTATATTGTAGCATTTATTAGCACCACTTGTTATATTGTAGCACATGGCACCACAACCGTGAAGTTTAGTCGTAGCGCAAGTGGTTAATACACTGTATCAGCATTTCCTTACTTCTATCATGCACAGCCACTAAAAATAATCTCCCGAACCCTCTTGCAACCACGTCTCTCATTGCAACAAAGGCCATTTCAAAACACACACGGCACAAACCAACGAGCAATTAAAACATTCCAGCAAAAGAGTATTATTCAATGTCAAAAGGGTTGCCATACAACAAGCAATTGCACCAAAAACCAGCGCAGAACACATATCACCACATTTGGTGATCTTAAGGTGCATATAAGAATACAGCCCTCATTACTACTCTTCTAATTTTGGCGACTTGCTGAGATGGCCACTTTAACATGAAAGTACCATGCTATTAGATGACCTCCAAAAGTTTAGGTGTAATGGACCCCTACTTCTTAATCTATAACTGCTGGCAGCAGTTAAATTTGGACAAGTTGCAATTTATACATGAGTTTTTTAACAGTATAGAATGTTAGTGCCACCTGTCTTCTAACTGCTCAGTAGTCAACTACATTCCCTTGGAATTTCCCTCATACTTTTTCTTAAGGAAAATAGAAAATTATCACCACATTTTTCAAAAATAATTGAATTAAATATGAAGTATTCCCATATTTGTTTCACAATTAAGTATATAAATATTCACATTTTTCAGGGGAAATATATATATATATATATATATATAATATATATATATATATACATGGTATAATATACAAATATATATATGGTAGTACAAAACGTTCATACATGATAAACTTTAAGAACACACTAATTTACTTACTTTTGACAAACTCCCATCAATTCCACTAACAATCATGGTCTTTTCTCCTGATAATAATTTAGTTTCAGATACTCCAACAGGTCCAAAGCGATTGACACGCACAGTTCTTCGATTGCATGGTGGTTCTCTTAAATCAAATACAGTTAAACCTGCTGTGTCAACACCACAGAAAAGCATCTTGCCAGAATCATTAAATTCAATAGATCGAACATTACCTGGTAGACGTGCTTTGTATGTAAATCTGTCATCATCAAATATGTAACAACCTTGTTCTGTTCCTGTTGCAAAAAGTTCTCCATGGGCATTACCTGCACAGCTCAAAATATCACGTTTTGATATATACTGGCGTCCATAAGTGTAAGAATCATTGGTAAAATTACACAAAACGGTACTACCTTCCATTACTGATCTTTCATTGAAACGATTCCCTACATAAAGAACACAATTTTGTTGCCTAAAACGTGCATCGCACATATCTCTAACTCGAGTTAATGCAAAAAATGGACCAACTTTCCCAACGCTTTTAACTATTGGTGGAATCTTGTCAGAATTTTCATACTTTGAACTAAATTCAAAAGTTAATCTATATATTATAGCATCGTAATGATCACCTTTCCAAAGACCTATAATGCTTTTTCCATCACGTGAACCTCTTATAAACTCACAGTCGGTAATATGCGTACTAGAATTTGATGTGAAGAAAAAATTCGTTAAGGATAATTCTCTAGCTTTCATAGTCGATAAATCTGAAATAAAATTTGAACTACTTGCAGCACCTTTCTCTCTACTGGATAAAAGTCGCAATACATTTTTTGATTCAGAAGATACTGGAGACGAACTTTTTGCTACTTTCAGACTGCTACATGGTTGGGTTTCTTCTCGCTTTCTTTTTATTCCAATACGAACAGATTTGAAATCAGTCATTGTCGATGCATCACAACGCATTGGGTCAAATTTTGTTAGAAATAAAACTGGCATCTCACCTACATTTGGTTCCATGTCATACTACAAAGATTATTTTATAAATGTGCAAATGAAAATTTCATCTTTATACACAACATATAGTTTTGTAAACAAACTTGTGAAAAAATATGCGTCTTATACAAACTAACATTTTTAAACACTAGTAAATTGTCTTTTCAACGTTGATAACTGATATAAGATTGAGTTTTGCAATTTAATATGTCATATCCGGAATAATAACACAACGAAATATAATAACTTTTTCCTCACTCAATTCAAAACGCCACACTCTGACAACGAAAACATACGTATAAATATCAGTGTTCCATCCAGTTTGTTATCTTCCTTCTTTAAGTCTTTCTGTCCGCAGGAAGAGAAATTAAGCATAATCATGAAAGAGAGAAAAATATTTCGAAATATTTGATATAATATTGAAAAGTAGAAGACAAAAATGATCTAAAAGGTCAAAATCGAGCTATAAAAAGAAATTTTTGTTTTATCTAAAAATATTTAAATTATATCACTACCATATAACATTAAAAATATAAAAAAGATGGCTAACAAATATTTAAAAAATATGAAAATACTATGCGCAGAATCTGTTATTTAGAAGTAAGCTTTTTATTCATTTTTATAAAATTTCGTTTACTCTTTTTATGCTTTTGTTTTGATCTGTGCAAAAAGATTTAACAACTGCAAAACGGGATATATGTCTATTTGTCGATTTTTGTTTCGTGTGTTTGTGAAACTTTTGTATAATTGAAAAATTTAAAGGTAGTGTATTGAAATTTCTGTGTTCATTTTTAGGATTCCAGACGTCAGAGTACATTCAGATTTTCAGTTTGCTATTATATAAATAAGTTGTGAATGTTCCTTTATAGACTTTTTTTTCCTTTTGCACTTTATTGCTGTGCGGCCTTTTGAGAGCAAGAACACATTTGTGTGCGAGCCGATCTTTAAAAATTTTTAAGCATTATAAATATTGCGAGTATTGTTGCGCAGAATTGTATCTATGTGGTTAAAGATTCACTAAAATGTATTAGTGCTTAAACTGCAGTCAGCCGAACATATGTTAAAATAAAAAAGTTATATTTACAAGAATTAAGTTAAGCTTCAAAAATGTTTTAGGTTGCAGAATCATGTACAGTTTGAAAATGAGTATTCAGTCATTTTTATATCTCTCACTTGCAGTATGAATGTTTTATTCTGACGTAATTATTGCATCATATGCACTTGATGTGTTTCGATATCTTTGTAAAGGATTAAATTATATTTTGCCTAACAACAGATATAATTTTATTATATCTGTTGTTAGTTTGCATTAATGATTCAATTAGTACATTCCAGCCAGTATTGGTGCAGTTTCTGCTGAGCCGGTTTAGGGTCCCTGCAACATTTGCAGTTGTGAGGTGCTCCGAGTTTGAGAGGGTCCGTTTCCATGTATAAATATTAATAAAACTCGACTGAACTTCTAAATGAAACAATACTTTTGTAATTTAAATTTTTGAAATTTTAAAATATACTGAAACTACAGCTTAGTGATTAAAAAATAACACAGTAAAAATCAGAGCTGCAATTCTTGGTTGATCTTTACAATATGGTAACTGGTAGTTTGGCGACATTTTGGAGGCGATAAAGGTTACTACCTGGGACTTTGGTAATAATGTGAGCAGTACTCAGTTCCGATTACGCATTATTTTGTGTGAGGGAAATGAGAGATCATGGGATATGTCATGTGATATTAATGGACGAATTACGGTTCTTTAATCGGAAAAGGGGGGAAATCGGGAAAAAATGTGGAAATTTTGTATTTGGCTTTATTCTGTGTTGTGTGAAACAGTGTTGTTTAATTTTTGGATCCCATTGCCCTAACTAAAGTGAATTCGAAATGGGTATTTAGGCATTGTGATAAAGAGAAGTTTGCTTTTTATTTAGCGGAGGAAGTATGGAGGAAAAATTCGCAGAAAAATCTTTCAATAATTTTATTGAATGAATTAGAAAAGTGTATCCGCCACGTAATTAAGATTCTGAAGAAGATTAGGTAAGTTAGTATTTTTAATTATTTGAGGATATTATTTTTATGCATTGTTCTAAATGTAAGGTGGAAAGGAATTTGGTATTATTGGGAAAAATTGTTATTAGCAATGATTTAGTTTAAAGTAATTAGGATTGTAAGGTAATTTTTATTAATTTAATGTATGTGCTCATTTATATTTTAAGTAGTGTTTTTTTGAATTTAATTATATTTTAATGAAATGATAGTTATTTTGTGAATTTTATGTTTGTAGGAATTTGGTATACGTTTAAGTTTAAATAAACGTGCATGGAAATAATTTAAATATTTGATACTAAGTATTTGTAATGCTTGCAGTATGAATTCGTTGGTGACGTGTATAATGTAATAGATAATTTAGAGGTAAAAGTTTTTGGATATTTATTTATTTTATATGTGGAAATGTTCATATTTGTAAAGGGTAAATACTTTTTCGCGATCAGGTAATTTCATATATGTTCTTTTTTACCGTGTTTAAAGATTGAGAAAATTGTCATATATTTTCGTGAAATTTTTCTAATTTATGAGAAAAAAAGCAGTGTACATGGATATAGTGAAGAGTGTGCGCAATGCCATTTTTTGTGCAATTCTGGGATGTTTTTTTTAAGTAAAAATAAGTCGGCGTGTACATGGTTTATGTGTATGTGTTATTTTGAAAAACGCGTAAGGAGTATGGTATTGTGCACTTTTTCCCAATTTTGCAGTGAATATTTGTCATGATTTTTTGTTTGATAAAATTTCTAGCATAAGTGTAATTCGGCTAGTAGATTGTTGGAAGAAGTATTCAGTAGATAAAAAGAAAAGAAACATGTCTTTACTTCGTGAAGACAAAATGGCGGCAGGGGAAAAAAAATAGAGGGTTGCTGTAGGAGAGTTGGTTGCCAAATCTTCGCCAAGTTACCATAATGTAAAAATCAACGCAATTCTTTTGTCAGAATGTTTAGAATTTTATGATCGATTGATGTTGCACCACTGCCTACTGACCAAACTATTTGAAATTTACATTTAAGTATCTTCCTTTAGAATCAGTGGTTCAACAACGTAATCTTATTCATAAGGGTATATTTGTTTTGCTTTAAACACAAACTTACTCATTGGTTGGAATGATGTGAAATTTTGGTGTACGAGGGCTATCCAGAAAGTAGATTACGTTTTGGAATAAAAAAATAAACAAAGTATAGGAAACAAATTTTATTATATACAGATGAAAGCCACACTCAAATACTACTTTTCTACATAGTCACCATACAAATTAAGGCATTTATCGAGCTTGGAAATTCCTTCGTCGAAAAATTCGGCCGCCTGCGCCTTCAACCACTTCGTTACCTACCTTCTTTTTGCCTTCCATCTTGCACAAAACTTGTGGTAACCAAGCTTTTCGCTGATGATTTCGTGCAACAAACTTCGCGAAATTTTGTGGAAAACTCAAAGAAAGTTCCGTTATTGTGAAATTTCGCTTTTCACGGACTTTAGCATCGACTTTTTCGAGAAGTTCGGCGGTCACTATGCTGGGTCTCCCACTTCGATCTTCGTCGTGAACATTGGTTCGGCCATTTTGAAATCTTATGACCCACTGACGTACTCCACCTTCAGTGATAATGTTGTCCCCATACACTTCACGAAGCTGCCGATAGATTTCTATCGGTTTACAGTTTTTTGCAGTCAGAAACCTTATTACTGAGCGCACCTCGCAGCTCGCGGGATTTTCAATTAACGCAGACATTTCAAACCGTCACAGTATCTGAACGGAGCACAGCACGAACCTCTTACTAGCACGGCTAGATGCAGACTGAGCTGCGCAACGCTCTGACCCCAAGATGGCCGCGCTAGCCCCGCCCCTAGCGGACACAGACGGAAACGTAATCTACTTCCTGGATGGCCCTCGTATATTTTTTTGAAGGTTTTTGAAAAATCATCTGTAAACAGGTAACTGGCAGAAATTTGTTACATTACACTTTATTGTTGAATATATATATATATTGTTTTTATTACTCTACTCTTTTGTGCTGCTACAAAAAAGTATAACAGTTACTATTCTTATATTACTTATAGGCTTGAAATTTTTAGTGTTCCATTTTTGGAACATTAGGTAAAACCAATGCTACAGGAACTTATATATTTAACTTTCATATGGTTGTAATTGAAGTCATTTTTACAGTCACAGGATGTTCAGAAAACTGTTACATGAGCTCACTGACCTGTTAAAAACAGATTACAGCATAGCCTTAGATTAAGCAATAGATTAAGCAAATGCCTTAGTCATACAACCACATGGAAATGATATAGTGCCTGTTTCAAGATAATGGAACAATAACCTGCCTGGTTCTTTGCTGCATGCATTTGCTTATCTTGTTCAGGGTGATTATTTTGATGTCAACCTTACCAGAGGATCCTTTATATTTCTCTAAATTGGATTATTCTGCAGATGGGGCTGAATCTGTTTCTGCTGCTATGCAACAACCATCTTGAACAAAGAAAAGAAAACCAAAAATTATTTGCAAATGGAAAAAAAGTGGATATAAATGCCTAACCTATATCAGGAAGAGTTACATAGTTGCAAATTCTTGAAGATAGACTTGTAAAATTTTATCTGAATTGTGATACCATTAAACTCATTGTTACATATTCAAATTCAAATGCGGCAAGTTAGAATGTAAATCTTAGCTTTACAAACTTTCAATTGAGATGTTTCCTGGGGTTATTTTTCTAGTGTTGTAACTATGTCTCAGTTCCTAGATGGCATACATTCTTGGAACAATGAATTGATTCACACAATGTCCTTGTTAGTAGTGCTGCAAGTCGTGACTGCTTTCAAGCAATATTTTAAAATCTGTGCAGGCAATGCAAATTTAGAACCATATGACATGTTTACTTAGTTACAACCTCTTATAAACAAAGTAAATGAGTGATGTACGAATTTTATTCCAGACGAAGCATATTTCAGCATTGATGAATCCACAGTTTCTTACTTTGGTTGATACAGATGCAAACAGTTTATAACAGGGAAATTAAAAAATGTAGTTTGAAATTATAGGTGTGCATTATGCACTGGAATATGTGGTGCATTCATAAACATAAGTATATTTTCAACACTTCTCGCAATATATTTTTTAGGGTTTAATTTCATGCATTTTTCATAACTGATATGCCATATATAACAACATAGATCAAGATTTTGCAACTGCAATGTTCATGGCAATGCCACATTACTGGTTAGCCTGGTGCAGATTTTATATTGATGCTGTGTTTCTGTGCAAATTGTTTTTTGGCATTTATGGTGATGCGACTTTTCTTCCAGAAATTACAATAAGTAATGTTACACAAGTGGGAAGCAATTTATAAAATTAATTCCTCTGTTAGAATCTATTTGGAACAGCACTGTAATTGGTGATATTTAATTTCTTATTAGTAATATTTAGTTTCTTTTGAATTTTATTGAAAATTGAAAAGCTACTTTACTACCACTAGAAAGATAAAGTTTAATTGTGGCTTTTGGAATATCTAGTTTTGGCTTTAGAGCATTCTTGAATTTTGTCATGTAGCTCTTGGGCCCCAGCTCTAGTGTTTTAAAACATTGTCTGCGTTCAAACCATTACCCATTCGAATAAAAGAAAACAATTTGCATATGTCACAAAATAATTTTCAGAGATGTTTTGCGACCTTGATTGCTCGCAGTGGTTTGACAGGTAAAAGGAAAATGTGCTTTGCAGTAAAATCTAAGGAATTACTTTCTTGAGATATATATTAAACATCTGAAAAATTTACTTTATAGTGATGAAATATAGGGAGCTGTCATGGTTCAAGTGAACAATTTACAAAATTTGTCTTTAATTATAAAGATATTAATATTAAATTAATTTTTAATCTTTTGTTGTTGTTCTTTGTTTGTTTATCTATTCTAAGAAAAATACATGTTTTGAGTGTTATCAGGCTTTGATCTGGTATAATTTTAAGTTAATAAAGCAATTCGTCAGAAAGGCATACGATTAGACACTATAGTAAAACTTATAAATGCAATATTACCTATTTTTGAAGAGTTCTGATTGAAAATTTTTATTATTACATACAAGTTTAAGTTCTGCTATATTTAATAAATATATATTATTTGTCTTTCTTAATATACGAATATGATATTTAATAAATGCAATGAAGGAAATATTTATGTTGGTTTTGTTTTTTCAACTTCTTTGAGTTACCTGATTAAAACATGCTTTAGCTTAGGGGTTGGCCAGCAGGCTTGCAATTTCATAATCTACCTTGTTATGAAGTCTTGTGCAATGACATTTTAATTTCTTTTTTCTTTGATTTTATATGCAAACTCTCGAAATCAGTAGCATGAGTGCGCATCTATTGTTACAATATACTATAGGCACTTGCACACACATGCTTATACTAGAGATCAATCTAAGTTGAGAGCACTAGATATTCTAAAAAGCATGTGCATTCACTGAAGAATATAATCCTATCATTTCTAGTAGCTTTAATATGGAAATTAAATTATGGCAAATGAATATTGAGATAAAAGACATCAGAAAAGGGAGCCTAGGGAAAGAGCATTTCACCTTTAAATTTTTATTTGGAAATGAAACTGTATTCATGTCAAATGTTTGATGGCCAGTAGGAACAAATTTCATTTTGGATAAAATAATAGTTTTTTAATTGTAGTTTTATTGTTTTTTTTTTTTTTTTTTTTTTTTTTTTTTTTTTTTTTTTTTTTTTTTTATTTATACCCCAAAAGGATGTTTCCCTCTCCCTTATTGTTTCTTGCAAACAGTAAGGGCACTGCAAAAGATAGTCACATCCCTGTCTGCATGGTTCACTTAAAGTGACTTTTTTGGTCCAGAGTTTTTGCCCATCCTTGCCTTAGTGATTTGCTGTGAGCATTTTGCTAAAATATTTGAGCTGCTATATTGCAAATCTCAAGTCTATTAATCTGAGGATGAATATTTCTCCTCTGCAATTGAGAAATCATCCCCATCTTCTTGCTGGTTGAGAATCCTTAGTTTTGATTGTCTTAAGTTTTGTCTTAAGCTTTTAGTTTTGTTTTTCAGCATATTAAATAAAAATAAAATTTCAAATATTCAGGAGCAATTTTACACAATAATTTTCTGCGTAAAAATTATTAACACTGTAAAATTTTTCATAGAGATTTTAAATAAATGCTTAAAATTAGATCAAATGCACCCAGCTAGCTGGAAGATGATAGAATCATTGGTAATAATGATAGCATCAACTTTTGACTAGTGGACAAAGCATAGTTATGTGACTATCTGAAACACTGTCCATGGACTTAAAGATTGTTGTTTTACTGTAGAACGAATAAATGATTCTTAAGGACAGAGAATGGGATAAAATAACAAGTGTAACTTTTTTTTTTAATTATCAAAAAACTGCTAATGGTAGAATTTTTCATCTTTGTGAAAATTTTATATCTTCTGCAGAAGATACACCTAGAAATTTCCACACCTGAAAACTGATATTATTAATGATTTTATAGTAAAAAGTACTATTTTATATGCTATACTAATTTATCTTTAAATAATTTTGCTTATATTTTGAAGGGATTGTTGAGCATTCGTAAGTTCGTAGATCATATCTGACAATTTGTCATTTGTGCCGATCTAATTTACAAATATTTCAATTATTAATATATATTACAATATAATTAATTAAATTAATTACTCTTTAAATCATAAAAAAATCTTAGTTTTTTATGATTTAATGAGACATTAATTTTAAATAAATTAATTTCTTTTTAAGAGTCATGACACGTTCTCAACCGTCTTGGCAGCCTCCTGAGGGATCTGATAAGACAAGACTGAAACTTTATAACAGTTTGACACGACAAAAGGTAAAACAGTTTTAAATTAAAATTTTCTTCCAGTACTTTTTCTATTAAGAATATTATCTTAAAATTTGTAACAGACATTAATAGTATGCGTATGAGATATTTTATAAATCATTCTGTTACACAATTTTATAATTTGGTAATAAAATTTACAATATTATTTTGTTTCTATATTTTGACAGGAAATATTTGTTCCGCAATTCGGGAATAAAGTGTTATGGTATAGTTGTGGACCAACTGTATATGATGCAGCTCATATGGGCCATGCAAGGTAATTTTCGTAACAATTAAAATTCTTTTTGGAAACGTGCATATAAAAATGAATATAAAAATGTACATATATTTTATCTGTCATTTATTCTAGATTGTTCATGGGCTATGTGAAATTTGAAGTAATGTGTTTTATGTTTTAATATTAAGTGTATGTGTGATTATAATTTCATTTTTTATTCATAGGTCTTACATTTCCTTTGACATTCTTCGGCGAGTATTGGCAGATTATTTTTCATATGATGTTTTTTATGTAATGAACATCACTGATATTGATGATAAGGTGCAGTACATAATTATCTTTTCTGACTTTTTATTCTGTACTTTTAAAAAAAGTGTTTTGAATTGTAATTTTGGGGAAATATTCTTTCTTGTATATATGCACTTGTAATTTTTTGTACAGGATATATAGAGAGGATTCAGTTAAAAGTGGACCACACATTAAAAAGAACATAATTTTGTGCATATTTTGTTTCTTTTAAAACTTATTGGTTATTCCTTTTCATATTTTCTTGGCAATAAATTTTTCATCCATAAAACTTCAAGAAAGAAATGACATTTTGGTAACCTTTATGAGATACCAAGCTCTAAAAAGACAAATTTAGCTTTTGGCTCTGTTTGCAGCAAATTTTGTGTGCTATACTTGCTTGTCTTTATTAACTAAATGCTTAGCTGCTAAAGTTAAAAAAAAGTCGCAAATGAAATTGATGTAGTGGAAGATCACAATAAAAAATGCAAATGGTTATCATTGTGTCCCTTTCATAGATAAAAATTTAGTGGTAACAGACATATAAGCTTTATAAAAATGTCCCTGTTGCCAAAAAGAAATTCTTGACATCACAAAAATTATGACACAGAAAATGTTGTATGGCGTAACTTACAAGTACCAATATTTTTTTCAAGATGAATTCAGAACTTTAGTGTGCGTTATTATCTGATAAACTCTAAAGGGTGAATAATGAATGTAATTACTGCCACATGCCGTTTAATAAGGAAATCTATAAGGTTGCCAAGAAAATTATTGAAGTATTTAAACAAATATGTTGAACTAGAGCAGTGGTCGCCAAACTTACAAAGCTTCTGAGCTACCGTACTGTTTTTAAATCCTGCTGTGAGCTACCAACCAAAAGAACTACCAACTTTAAAAAAAAAAAAAGTTTCATTTGTTTATTGCCTATAAATTTATAAAATATGAAATCAATTTTAATTAAACTGTATGTAACAAAAAGAAACTGAAATTGAGTTGTGCATAAAGAAATTGAAGTGTAGTTAGTAATAAGTAACAAATTTAATAAAATATTTTTATCAGACTTATTAACTGTAATGAGAACAATGAAACTTTTTCTGCCATCACATTTTTAATGTTGGGAGAGTAGGTAGTGGCTGCCATTTGAATGCAGTTGTCCAAGTGTTCATCAGAGAGCCTGTTTTTGCATTATATTTAATAAATTTCATACTGGAAACTGAAATTTCATGTGGATATATAGAGCTGAACATTGCCTTCACTTTGAGACAAGCATGACCAAAATTGGGTATTTTTTTTTAGGAACAAGAGGCCAAATATTTACAGAGCTTGAAGAAAGCAATTTTACTGATAAATCATTTTGAAAATCAGTCAGTTCCAACTGCACTGCAGCATTATTGTCTTGAAAATCAAAATGCTCCATGACACAAGTAGAGAACATTTTAGCATCAATCCCTATTAAAAGCAATTTGACAAACTGTACAACAATTGAAATACTTTTGAAATCTTGGAAGCTTTTGTAAACTTCTCAAATCTGATATAATTTCAACATATTGCTTTCTGTTTAAAGGAGGCATTGAAGACCTTTTCTTTTAAAGGATTTACTTCAAATAAGCAATGTGTTTTCATTCACCTTGGATGATATTTTTATCCCACATTTCGAGCTTTTTGGAGAATGAAGCAACATCTGAAATCCGCCAATATCTCTATCCCTACCTGGAAGCTGTCAGTAAAGTATTAATTTTTCTGTGATGTCTGCAAGAAAAGCAAAACTCTGCAGCCAAGCCGCATCTTCTAGTTCACGAAAGGTTTTGCCTCGTACTTTCAAAAATTCTACTAAGGCCCGAGCAACTCTTGAAAATGTTGAAAAACTCTGCCTGCACTCAACCATTAAACTTTTGTATGAAGCACTAGATTACCATACTGGCAAGCTAGTTCATCAGTCAGAGCTTTGAACAAACATCTGTGAATTGCATGTAGCTTTGTGTGATATTTTTATGACAGTTTTCATTGCATCATACTTAAAAACTCTTGGTGAAAACAGTGACACCTGGTGTAGTACTTGGTGGCAAGACAGGAATTTCGGAAAGCTGTTGGCTTTACGACACAAGGTTATGATTCTCTCCGCCTACCATCCCAGGAGTGCCATCAGTTGCTAAGCCAACCAACTTATTTATAGGAATATTTTTCACAGATAAGATCTTTCACAGCTACAAATACGTCTTGCCCTTAGTGCGTTTTATTAATGGTATAATCTTTATTATGTCCTGTCTTATTTCGATATTATCAAAAAACATTCTTGCAAAAACAGCGAACTGAGCTGTATCAACTTCGTCAAGTTGCACGAGAAATAGCTGCAGCGATCAAAGTCACTATCTATCGAAATTGCCAATGTGAGCTACTGAAAATATTTCTGGGAGCTACTAGTAACTCATGATCAAGGGTTTGGTGATCACTGAACTAGAGGGATATTTCCAATATGTGCTTCCAGCAAGAAATTTGGCATTAATGTACACAGTTAGTATTTCTGTGATGAATCCATTTTTTAAATAGAACTTCTTGTATGTAAAACAATAAAATATTGTTGCGTGCGTACGGGTTCGTTATGAAATGAATGCACAAGTCCGATGAAAAATGAACAAAAAAAATTTATTATTATCACAACAAAAATGCTTAAATTTTCTCAAATTATCATGCAGTATTACAATATCTCACAGTAGTTATCTTTTAACTACTCAAATGTCCAATAGAACGCAATTAAAAACAGCTAAAGAACGCTAATCCGCGAATTCGCTACAATCAACAAGAGCAGTTTTCTAAACAACAACAAACTAAGCAACTACTACAAACTGAGATGTTTTCCTCCTTTTATAAGATTTTAAAATCACGCGCTAGAATTTTCCAGTACTTTCTCGAAATCAAAAAGAGATATTTATTTATTTAACGCACGCGCTCTTGTATTTTTAATTTTTCCGGCTTAGCTTTCTTTTAATATTCGTCACGCGCTGCACTGCGCGAGAAATAAAACCATTTAATTTATAATTGAACTAACATTAGCTTTTTAAATACCAAATTCGTAACACTGTCCCCTTCCCAAGGACTGCATGTCCCGGGCAGTACAATCCCTGGACAGGAAGCTAAACTTACAACTGTGGCATAAATGCATTAATAAGCATTACATTACAATAATAAACAACATGAACAATAAATGCAATAAATAAAACAAATCAAATGCTATCAAATACTAAATACAAAACAAATACTAAATACAAATCAAATACTAAATGCAAATCAAATACTAAATACAAATCAAATCAAATACACATTTAAAAACAAAAAGGACCATGGTCTGATACTATTTACAATTATTTACATTATGTACTATGGCCATAGTAATAAGCTAACCTGTCGTAAGAGTTCGAAGACTCACGGATCCGAACCACGACGTCATTCGTGTTCAGCACTGTATATGGACCATCCGAAGGTGACTGTAATTTAGGACTGAGTCCTTTTCGTTGAATCGGGTTCCACAACCTCACCTTGTCTCCTTTGTTGGATCTATGTCCAGTAGCTCTCGTGTTGTATCTGGTCTTCACTTTCTCCGTCGTCTTTCACTCGCTTTCGTCGCGAAACGGGGCATCACTTCAAAACGGGCCTGGACATCTTGGATGTGTTTCCTCAGGCGATGAAGGCGCATCCGCACGGCGGATCAAACAGGCGGTCACAAGGCAGACGAAGGTCTCACTACCGAAGCTTCATTTGTGATGCGGAGAATAGCTGGTAGTCTTGGTCTTGGTTTTCTTTTCGACCCTAGACCTAGCATGATTTCGGCGGCTTCCCGAAGCTGGGTCTTTCGGACAAGGCGTCGGCATTTCCAAGTGAGGATCTCTCTTCTGAGGATGGATAGTCATGTCACCAGATGCTGAAAGCAGTTTGTTGTTTTTGAAGTCTAAGGAAAAATTGTATTTCCTTAAAAAGTCCAATCCGAGTATGCATGGATCTGTGATATCCGCCACATAAGCCGTGTGATGGTAGCGGCGGCACTTCCAAACGTGATGTTTACGTTTAACTTCCCAGTTATGTCGATCTTATCACCAGACGCAGTCTGAAGGGTAACACAGGATGGCGTCCAAATAAGTTTATCTTTAAACTGTTCAGCTAAGTCTTTCCTAATGATGGTAACATTAGCTCCTGTGTCAATGATCATATCGCAAGGAACTCCATCGATATTCCCATTAATGGACATTCCGTTACTGTTGCCACTCACTGTATAAATTTTAAGCGCTTTAAAACAAGGTTTTTCATTATCTGGCAACCTCCGTTCCTTGATATGGTCATTAATTTGTTTCCTGCGTCGTTGCTCGTTGCTCAGAAATTGTCTCAATTTTCGTACCCTGGGTGTTCTGCAATTCAATTCTTTCGTACGTGGCCTTCAGTTCCACAGTTCCAGCATTTTAAGTTTCTTGTCACTCCTTTTTCGTCCGAGAGCATTTAATTGTCTGTTCAACTCGTCTGTCTTATTTTCCGTGCTCTGGGGAGTTCTTGCAGTTCCTTCGCACGTGGCCTCCAACACCGCAGTTCCAGCACTTTAGAACTGGTTTCTTTTCGCTTCTGTTCCGTCTCAAGCCACTGACTTGTCTGGTAAAATCATCTGTTTTATTTTCCGTACCTTGGAGTGTTCTGCAATTCCGTCGTATGTGACCTTCACTACCACATTTCCAACACCTTAGAGCCACTTTGTTCTCGCTCCTACTCCGTATCAAATCGTCGACTTGTCTGGTTAATTCATCTAAACGAGCCATCAGTTGATCCCCTGGCTCGTGGACTCGCACAGCTCTGACTGGGTAGCAATCTCGACGGGTGGCTTGCTGGGCTGCCTCGAATTTCATGGCGTACACTAAAGCGCTTTTCAAGTCTTTAACATCCGCCATTCGTAGAGCCTTCTGTATTTCGGGATCCCGGATGCCATCGATAAAGTACTGCAGGGACAGGATTTCCCTCATTTCTCTCGGGCACTCTGAAAAGGCGTGATGTGACAGCCTTTCAACATCCGTGGCGAGCTCCTGAAGTGATTCGGTGGGCTTCTGTTGACGAGATTTTAATTGGAGCCTACTGTAGTCTTTTAACACTTCTCCCCAAAGCGCAACTCCAAGGCGCCGGACAGAGCTTCGAAATCTAACCTTTTGTTTTCGGGAAGAGTCTGAAGGATATCCGCTGCGTCGGCTCTTAGAGAAGCGGCGAGATGACAGGCCTTAGCTTGGGAATCCCATCCATTCGCATCCGCCACGATAGAAAATTGTGTCTTATACACCTGCCAGGAGGTCTTCCCATCATACGTGGATAGCTTCAGAGGTGGACGAGCAGGCATTGGTAAGAATTTAAAATCATCACTCCTGCTCCCTGCCGACGTTACGAATTTCTTTAAAGTATCCATTTCTTTGGCAACTGCAGAAACTCTCTCATCAATTTGTTGTTCGATTTGGTGTTGGACGGCACAAACTCTTCCTTCAATTCGTTCCTCCACAGCAGAAACTCTCCCTTCTATATGTTCTTTTACAGAAAAAACTCTTTCTTCTATTTCTTCTTTCACCGAAGAAACTCTTTCTTCAATATGATCTTTTACGGAAGAAGCTTTTTCTTCAATATGTCCAACTTTATTTTCAACTGCGTCAATTCTGCCTTCCATAGCTTCAAATTTATTTTCTATTATGCAAGTAATTTCTCTTTTCATTTCTTCTTGACCAGCTTGAATGGCTTTCATTTCGTCCTTAACGGATTCCTGGCCCAATTTCATTTCTGTTCCTTAACGGATTCCTGGCCCAATTTCATTTCTTCCTTAACGGATTCCTGGCCCAATTTCATTTCCCTCTTTAACTGATTCCTTCAGTTTCATTTAAATGGCGTTGAGGCCCCCTTCCATCTTTTCTTGGAAAGGCTGATATTAACTGCCTTAATTGCTCTCTTTCCATCGCTCTTGTTATTGGCATTCAAATCCGCCATTCTTTACACTTCTGACACCAAAAATTGTTGCGTGCGTACGGGTTCGTTATGAAATGAATGCACAAGTCCGATGAAAAATGAACAAAAAAAAAAATTTTATTATTATCACAACAAAAATGCTTAAATTTTCTCAAATTATCATGCAGTATTACAATATCTCACAGTAGTTATCTTTTTAACTACTCAAATGTCCAATAGAACGCAATTAAAAACAGCTAAAGAACGCTAATCCGCGAATTCGCTACAATCAACAAGAGCAGTTTTCTAAACAACAACAAACTAAGCAACTACTACAAACTGAGATGTTTTCCTCCTTTTATAAGATTTTAAAATCACGCGCTAGAATTTTCCAGTACTTTCTCGAAATCAAAAAGAGATATTTATTTATTTAACGCACGCGCTCTTGTATTTTTAATTTTTCCGGCTTAGCTTTCTTTTAATATTTGTCACGCGCTGCACTGCGCGAGAAATAAAACCATTTAATTTATAATTGAACTAACATTAGCTTTTTAAATACCAAATTCGTAACAATATAATGTAATTTTCATAGTCATATGTAATGTGTGATTATATATGAAAATATTTAGATGTATGAGTATAATTGTTTGTGTTGTAAAAATTAAAAATAATAATTGATTTTTTTTTGTTAAGTATAGTGGTGTTGTAAAATGCATCTTTACTTTTCAGATCATAAAAAGAGCTAGGCAGAACTATTTATTTGACCAGTATGCTAAAACAAGTAATGATGTAACTAAAGTTATTGCTGATGTGTATGAAGCAGTAAAAGTAAGCATAATTTGTATTTATCTCTTAAATCTATTTGGTTTTTAGTGAACAAATGAGGTAATTGCCGAATCTAATAATTTTTGTTTTTCATTCATTATACCTTTCATTGTACCATGCTTTTTGGAGAAGTTCATGTAAATAAAATTTTTCTGTGCTTCATAGCAGGTGTATTTATTTATGTAATTATTTAAGAGAGCCAAATTAAATGCCTCAGTATAAGAACTGTGTGTGCATTCATTATTCATTATAATAACATATTTTGCTTGAAAATTTTCATTCAAAATTAACTTGAAATGCAAATATTTGATTGAAAAGATTCAATCCTCTGAAGTGTTTTCAATGAAAATATGATAAAACCTAATTAGATAGTCTTTATGTACTTTCACTTAATTGAATAATTGAACCCATTTTCAAATCTGAAGTAATATTTGATAAAATTAAGATTTTCAAACTGTATGCTGGAGGCACATGCATTGAAATCATTCTGCTGTAAATAACTAAAAGCAAATTATGAGAAATGGAACCACTGAGAAAAGAAGCTTGTGACATAAAAATAGTTTCACAGTTTATTTTTAATTTCCCATGCCTAAAACACCTGAACAATTTAAAAAAAAAATTTTTTTTTATTGATGTTATACTTGAGATGCCAAATTGATAAAGCTACTAAATGGTAAAAATTATTTGTGAAATATAATTCTAAACAAGATGAATTAAGTTCTTGGTAATTTTTGTGGTTTCAGCCAAGTTTTAATTTTCTTAGAACGTTCTTCATTGAAAGCATTCTTTCTCATGGCAGGTAGCTTTTGTAGATTTTGCAATAATTATTTGTTATATTGGTATTTGAATTCATTTCAAAACAAATGTAGTATTAATGAAAAATATTTGAACTTTATTGCATAATTATTATGAAGTCATATATTGTATATTAAAGCCCATATTTTTAACTTTTATTAAAAGCATATAAGTTGCAAGTAGTTTTGCAAGTGAAAACAATGAAGTAATTCATTAATGTGTTGGTGAGAGAGAGTATTTGACGGCATATAAGACGCACCCTTATTTAGACGGCCACACACAAGAAAAAAAAGTTTCAATAGCGTGGTTTCTTTTAGTTCTCACGTTTCGTAAAAGCCAAATAAACAATTATTGAATGCAATTACCTTCACGTATAAGACTATGTCCTTCACGTATAAGACGCAGGTAACTTTTTTGATACCAAATTTAGGAAAAAAAGTGCGTCTTATATGCCATCAAATACGGTAATTAGAAAAATAAAAATGTAGACGTAATATTTTTATAGTATTAGCATTTTTAATTATTGTATCTAATTTACATTCTAATTATTTTAAACATGATATTTTTCTTTTATTAAAACACTGATCTGAGTTCTACATTAATAAATTACAAATAAAGTATTAGTTCTATTATATATACTTTAGTTGTATATTCAAGACTGTTTATGAATGATGATTTATTAACTGAATTAAATGTTAAAGACTAAACTCCATACACTTAAAACTACATTAACATTTTAAGTTCCATTATAGCTTTCTCTGATAATTTGCCTACGTTGTTAATGAGCCTATTTCATCATTATTCTCTCCTTTCATAGCTGCCTATGTTCTCCTACGATTTCATCTTTGGCTACCAGAATTATTTTATGTCTTAAAATAATTAGTTATATAGATTTATTGAAAATTCTTTGCTGCAGCAAGGCCTAATCATATTTTCCTTTTTTTCTTTAATTTAATAGCTATTTTTATAGATGAATTTTTTTATGGTTTTACTTTGTCCCAGTCGATTTTTAAATGTGTGTAGCCTTTCATATATTCAAATGAAGTTGTCTTGCTGTACTGCTGGAAGATTTTGCAGTATTCTTCCGTTATCCGGAATGGAATCAGAAATGTGTGTTTATGCATGTACACTGTGCAAAAAAAAGGGTACAGTTCTGTATCTCCCATTCTACTGGGCCGACTTACGAAATTCAAATTGCATTTTTTAATCTCTCGAAAGCGCGACTTAGGATGTGTTTTAGATTTATATATAGCATTGTTCTAATATAGGTATTTTGATACAAAATCAAACTTTTTCCGAAATGACATGCCAATTTTTTTTTTCCGTATTTCAATTCTACGATTCAAATTGTGCCTAAATATTAAATTTTTGTAAAATTTGGTGTGAAATTTATGGAGAAATTAAAAAAATTATTTTTGCACTTTTTACGCCAAGAATAATTCACTTGGTGAACTTTTTAATTTATAGCAACCTTTTCTCCTTTCCTTTATTTCATTGTAGATGAGCGGAAAATATGTCATCGTTCATTTTTTCAAATAATTTTAACAAAGTGCGCAAACCACATTTGTGTTATTAGCGCTTATAAGAAATATGCCAAATTTCAAAACACGCCAATATTCACTTATATCTTTGGAAATTTTGAATAAAAATCTCTAATTTTTGCAGTTGTGCTTATAAATACTTCTACTTTAAGATGATGACAAACATTTTATAGATTATAATTCAAAATGTTTTCCTAAAAATTTATAAAAATTAGTTTAAAATATAAATTTTAAAAATGAATCATAAAAAAATGGGAGAATATCATTTCTAATGAACCTAAATTTTGAAATGTGAAAGAAGGAATCAAGTAAGTTTAATAAAGAAAAGAGAGATTAATAAATATATGTCATATTCAAATTAACATTGATGAGCTAAAATTTTGAGAGCTAATTTTTAAAAAATTACTCATGCGATTTTTACAAAACATGGTAGCCTGAGGGACTTTTACCCCTCTCTCCCTTTACCAAACCACTTGAGAGGACTTTTGACTTGCCAGTATTTTAAGTGCCTGCATGCCACACAGACACTATATAAACATCCAAACCTTCTCCATTATTCGAAAATGGACCAATTAGTATGTCAGCCGCTTTGCTGAACATTTTACCCTGATCATCAGGGCAGCAGGAGGAATATACAACCTTCCTATCCCAGATGTGAAGATAAGAAAACAAATTCAGTATTTAGTACCAGCATTTGAAAAATGAATGGACAGAATTATGGAACACAACTATGACATACATAGATATTTATAACAATAATAAAATTAATGAAAACAACACAAGGTGTTTTTTTTTTTTTTTTTTTTTTTTAAATACACAAAGAATCATTAGCGTTTAGAAAAAGTCTGAGATAAAATTAAAATTATCAGCAAACTTACCCTAAAAATAGAAGGTTTGGAAGTTATGACTAATCTGTTTTGCTATACAGAATTTCCAGTTTCTGTGCCAAGAATTTGAACAGCCATTCTAAAACATTAAGCAATTACTATAGCTGTAATTATGAAGAACTAAAGGAAACAGAAAAAAAAAAAAAAAAGTTAAACAGCACATAATTTATATTCAACTGAAGTATCAGACAAACTGTCTTTGAAAGTTTTGATAAAATTGAGTATGTTAGTATAGTTTTTGAGCTAATGTGAGTTAATCTTTAATATTAATTTTGATATTTACTCTTACGTTACTCTTTTTACCAGTCAGTGATCCTTAAACTATTAATCTTTTATACTAGTATTATGACATATACTTCCTAAATTTTCTAACTGAGAGTTTTTTTTCTGATGTCTAAATATAGCTGTTAAGCAGTGTAGTGTCATACATTCATACATAGCTTATAATTTAGTATCAAATCAAATTAAATTGAAAATTCTGGAAACAGAAAATATGTTTGATGATTTAACTTCCCGTACATCACTGGGAAGTGTAAATAAGGTCATGAAATATGAAGTCCCTTCATGAATTATAACTTGTCTTCAATTATTGGCAAAATAGACTAGCTACAACAACATAGCATAGTTTTGTACATGTCTAATTAAGTGTCAACTGTTTCTTTTAGAAAGCTCTTCCATGAAGACAGTCATAACACAGGGCAACCAGCTCTGATGTTCAAACTTTGATGCATGTTATTTTTATTGCTCATGAAAATTTTTATTTAGGAAACTGTATATTATCTTTATCTTTTTCCTTTTCAGTGTTTTAAAGCATTACTTGCTTCAACAGATGATAATGACAAGAGAACAATGTTATTAAAAATGATAGAAAGCACAGAAAATGCTTTAAAAAATGCAGAAAATACTCAGCTGACTGAAAATGTGCATCAAGAGGTGAAGTAATTAATTGGAATATGGTTGTACTGCCCATATAGTATATGTATTTTATTTGTTCAAATATTCAGTTTTCTTTTATTCTTTAATTTGCAACATATTTATATTTTCCCCCTTTCATTTCACTGTTTAGGTATTATTTAATGTGTTGGTAATCTGTGATAAAGATACATTTGAAAAGAAGTATTTATTCATTCAGGAACCATTTGTGCTGATTGGATATAATTTGGCAGAAAATTAGAATGTCTTGCACATGTATAATTAGTCATTCTACCACATGTGTCATTAATTGGAAATAGGTGCCATTCTGTAAGCAACTGTATTATGCTAATTCAGAAGTCAAACAACAAAAATCAGCGTTATATTTACCAAATTTTCACAGCTGCAAAACCGCAAATGAACCAGATATATCTGGTTCATTTGCGGTTTTGCAGCTGAATATGGTGGTTCGGTAAAACCATCGAAACTAGTCCTGTGAAAATTTGGTAAATATAACGCTGATTTTTGTTGTTTGACTTCTGAATTAGTATTTATTCGGCGTGTTATTGTGTCTTAACTGTATTATATTATCACAGTATACACAACTAAACAAGTGGATCATTGATTCTGTATCAGTTTTCATTGTTTCAGTTTTGATATTCATCTTCATGAAAATAATTTAAAGAGTTTTCAAGAATGAAGCAATGTGCAAAACCTCTGTGAAATTAAACCAGTGCTTCTAAGGTTACCAATACTCTATAAAAAATAACCCTTTTTTTTTTGCAAAAGATTTTATAGAGCCTGATAGAGTTATATAGGCATTTCTGGAGAGCTGCATTGTCCTCTATAAAAATTTTTGATAAATGATGTTCTGGAGTGTTTTCTTCAAATAGATGGTGGAAAATATTTATTGCATATTCAATGCAATCAATAAAAATTGGCAAATGACAGCACAATAATTAGAACATTTAGCATTTCCATTGTTAATTGTTGTTTCAGAGATATTGATATGGGATCTTAGTATGAAATTTTTGTACCAAAATTTGCTCTGTGTCTTCTGCCATAACAGTAAAATAATTTTAATACTAAGTTGCACAGAATTCACTCAAAATTGATAACAATGACCTAAATTTCCTCTAAACCTTATATCCAAATGATTGAAGTTCTCTTTTAATAATATTGATACAGACAAAACTACTAGTGCCATTGTGACATTTCAGTATGCATTATGATATACATCCAACTCACTTTTTACACAATTTTGAAATAATATGGTTCACCAATAAAACCAAATACACTTTTTTACATGAATTTTTTGTTCTAGCACAAATCCGCCCCCCCCAAATTGTTTTTTAAATTCTGATTTTGACAATGTGATCAGAAGTTGGTCAGTTTATGCCTACACATGTGTTAGTGACTTCATCAAAGAATTTGTAATGTTAAGAATCAAAGCTTCGCCAAAGCAGGAATGGCTCCATCACACCTAAGAGGGACATCCATCCAGTCTTATGCACATGCACGAAATAGCTATCGAGCAGTTGTCGAAAGCCATGTCTATCAAGTTCAAACTTCTGACACTATTTTTTTTTTAACCATAGAATCAACGTAAACTAAATCACTGTTCAAACTGTGATATGGATCAATCTCTTGATTGATTCAATCAACAACAAGTGAAAGTAAAACTTCACCAAGTTGCTCATCACTTCCCAAGTAAGCTTCAATCTGAGTTCAAATTATCACGAAAATTTTGTGAAAGAAGGAATCTTATTAGTTGTTTGGTTTCATATCTTATTTTCTTTAATTTCCTCTATCAAATGCTATTGGTGTTGAAGGTTTTAACAACATGCAGATGTTTGGCATCTCAGAATTTATACACGAAAGCCCTTTGGATGAGGACAATTTAATTGCATTTATGACAGTTTAGGATAATAAATATTGATGAAGTCAAAGGTGAAATTCAGCTATTAATTGCTGATTTAATTAGTGAGGGCTTGAAATTTCTATAAGTATGGAACAACATTTTCTTACTTGTAATCCTGACATGGTGCGTGCGGTAAATTTTGTATAGATGGATATCAAGAATTTTTATAAGCAACTTCAGGAGCCAAAAAGAACTGTCACAAATAACAGACTTTTAATAACAAAAAAACCAGCAGAGGCCATTTATAACGGATGAAATTCGTCTTTGAATCAAACTGGACAGTTGTGCTAAACATATCTGACTAACTACTGATAATAGCATATTTGATTCAGTTCGTAATAAATGTGTACTTTTGTTATCAATTAACAATGAATAGTTGCGAAATAGATTTTTATTCCTAATTTCAATTTAAATTTTACTTATGAACTTACGGATTGAAATTTCACTGTACACTAATTTAATTTTTTTTGTAATAAAAATTATTTTTGTATTATAATAATGTAATATGGATTTCATTATTACTTTTTTGGGAAGACATTTATATTGTTTTCATCTTGCATGATTATTTAAAGTTGTGGAATACGAACACATCTCCAAATTTACCATGTGTCACATGCATTTTTTTATATGATTTTTTTTTTTCCACAGTTTTCTAAAGAGTTGGGTGTATGTCATTCTCTATATATCAGTTTTTGTTTAAGTGCTGATTTGTAATAGCAATCCTAGAATGTTTCTACTTGCTGATAACGTTAGCTGTTACTGACATTGGATGTTTCAATTAAATACTTATATGTATATAATGTTGACTATATGTATATAGTTAAAAGTAATATTTTTATCAAAAGAAATATTTCAGAACTCTGGAATTTTCCACAGAAATGTTCATTCAAGTGTTTACAGTGTCACACAAGACAATCAGTAGTTACAAACTACTAAGAATGCTAAACACAATGCAATGCAAAGTGCATCTAAAGAAAATGTTAACTTATCTCAGTTCATGTGGATTTAACTCACAAGAACACTAACAAAGCAACTGACTCACATGCTACTCTTCGGCCTTAAATAGTTTTCAACTGACCGTGAGATATTTCTAGTACTTTTTGCTTCTTGAAATTACTGGAAAGCAATATGAGAGTGGCATTACAGTTACAGCTAACATAGTGGTCAATTAAATTTATTCATGATATGTGGACCAAACCAAAATGTCTCTAAATTGGGTGACTCTTGGCGATTTATCGCCAAATTTGGTGACAAGATAAGTCTTCAAAACCATTACCAGTTTGGGGAAAGATCGCAAAATTACCAAGATAACCATTTACTTAATGTTAAATGCACTTGCCCCTGTATTCATATTTTTCAGGTATAGCTTTCTCTTAAAATTTGTCTGAGGCTACATTGCACAGAAAAATACAACAATTTTACTTATAATTCTACTAAAATTACCTATCTAAGCACAAAATTTGTAACAATAGATTTTCCACTTAGCATCTTACAATAATATATAATTCAAAAACTACTGAACTCGCAACAAGCTGTTGTGACACTTCTAATCAATTATTATGTTCATCTTCTGCCTTTTTATATTAATACACTGAAGATTTCATGAAATGATCATCACATAATATGCAGTTAAGGATCCGGTATATATAAGTAACCAGAAAACTATAGCTGGGTAATGTGTGTGTATTTGATTAAAGTTGAAAAGGGGAAGTAGAGTTAAAATTTAGATACTTACTGTTATGCAAGTATATCAAATATTACCACAAGTAACATACTATGTATTATTTCAGGCTTTGAAACATCTTCTTAGCAGTAGCAGAGATATTTTAAGTGACTGGCTTGATGAGAAGGAAGGAAAGAATGTCTGTGATAACTCTATTTTTTCATCTCTACCTGCAAAATGGGAAGAAGCTTTCTATGAAGATATGGATGCATTAAATGTATGGGTAACTGCTGCTTATTTTATAACATGACTTTTTTGTGGTATTTCTATATCTGTCTGTATCTAGTGTAATCTCAGTAAATATTGAAAACATTCTAACTGGGGGGGGGGTAAACAGAATACAAGTTGTTTTAATCTTGATGTATAATTTTTTTTAAGATTGTGAGCTATGGTATATAATACCATATTTTTGAGTTGTCTTTCATATTCAAATCTTTGTAGGCATAATATTTGTGATTAATTTGGATTTATGTAGTTCTGTGAGATACTTAAAATGTGACAAATATGTGAAACATTTGCATGAATATTTAGATTTTAATATTTCTAAAGTTCCTTCCTCCCCAAAAATTATACCTTTATGAAATGGTAATATTTGCTGTATGCATTTCAAATAGATTTTTTTTTCTCTTTTTTAGCAGATATAAAATTATCCAACTTTAATTGTCTCTGCTTTTATAGAAAATCATCCCTCATTTTTAGGAAAATCTAACATGGATCTATTTCCTTTAAGCAGGAAGGGGGAATTCTGATTAATTGTTTAAGAAGTATGGGATATGAATATGCAAAACAAAATGAATAAATGATTAAAAAACTGTATTGCCTTTGAATAAAATATAACAAGAAAGACTGAGGTTATAGGAAAATCATGTCTGATGATACTTGGATTATGAAAGACTAAAAGAAATCTAGCTCATTATCAGAAATCATGCTTTTTTCAATAATGTTAGTTTCTATTAATCCTGCAGTAGTCACACAGAAGGCATATGGCATCCAGTGTGATTTTTACCCATTGTATCTTTAGGACATTTTATCTGATCTAAGTTACTGTCATCATCTTTTGCTCAGGGTTTCTTAAACTTTTTGTTGTGGGACCCCATAATATTTCCGAAAATTTTGTGGGACCCCCATAAGCATTGTGCAAATCCGATACACACGTAAGTGAAGCTATCAGTTTCTTCACTTGCACTGTAATATACTGTTGCAGTTTTATGTCATTAATTTTCAAAGTAAAATAAATATTTCTGTTATAAAAAATGCATCGAAATGTTTTCCCCCCTTTTTTCTGTGTTGTCTTATCTTTATATATTTTCAGATACATTATGTAAAAATATTTGGTAATTGTAAAATTATTATAAGTTAAAGAAATATCAAAATTGCTAAAATTTTTGGCGACTTCCCTACTGCAGGTCCCCCGACCCCAAATGGGGTGACGGCCAACAGTTTAAAAAACTCTTGCTTAGAACATGCTTTTGTTGTCATTCATGTAGTAGTTTTTCTTGCTAGTATTATGTGAGATTTAAGTATTTTTTTTTAGTTGTCTGACAGGCATTGTGCAGTCAACCAACTTTGTTATGATAATAAGTGCATGCAATTTTTATGTTCTTCAATTTTTTAAAATTAGAGTAATTTTATTAATAGATGCATTTATAATTATGATACCATTATGTCCATGCATTTATGATATATTTATGTATAGTTGTCTAACCTTTTTTTAAAAAAACATTTATAACCTTTATTACTATAATTTTATTTAGCCTCTAACAAAATATTATAATTTTGTGGAAATAAAATATATTTGGCTATCTCTCCATTCATTCATGGATTTTTTCTTAATGGTCTGGCATTTTTCAAATGTATTGTGGGATAAAAGATAGTAATTTTGTTTGTTAGAGGGGAGAAGGCAAATTTTCTTTGAAATTTTGTGGGCCTAGAATTTACTTTAATGTTTTTTAAAAAGTTGCCAAGTGCAAAATAATATAGATAACTAAAGAAAAATCAAATTATGTATTTTTTAAATTGTCAAGTGCATTTTTAAACCAATCAAATTCATTCTAATGCATTATACAGTGCATACACACATTTTTAATATACTAATAATGGAATACATTGTCTGTTGGACTGTAAAAAAGAATTACAGGTTTCTAAATGTGATACCTTTTTATGCTATTCCTTGCACCTTTCAGATAGGTGTTTTTTTTTTTTTTTTTTTTTTTTTTTTTTTTTTTTTTTTAACTCGCATGGCTCATTTTCAAAATTAGTGAATAATGCATGGGAACTAACTTTCCCTCCTAGATTATGTCTGTATTTATATTTAACAGTAGTTAAATGTATTAACTCGTAAAGTTGCTTAGAACCATAATATAGGTGAGAATCCTAGCATCCGTTTGTACTTTATTCACGTGCATATTCTATAGTGGCAGATTTATAGAGTCCTGCAAACTTGACATTCTGTATTACTTGCTATCTTGATATTGCTGCCCAGACGGTATAGTGATTAGGTAAGGTAAAAGTATGGGGGACACCAGCGATGTACCATAGGTCAACTGGTCCGCTTCCAAATACTACCTTTTGGGGGAAAAAACAAAAAAACCGAGAAGAAAGAGAAGGAAGGGGGTCATTGGCGTTTAGGCAAGTTTTATAAAAATTTGCATACTGAAGCTTTTCAAAGCCTGAGTTTGCCTATTATGGTACTCGTGTAACCAGTACACCCCACATCCAGAATATTAAAAATAAGGTAGGGGATATAAGATTACAAAAGAGTCTGAATACAATTTGAGTCATATAATAAATGAACATCTGATTTGGTGCAACAAAATAGAGATAAACATAATCTACAACATTGAGATAATTTAATTAAATAAACACACAATGTTAAAATGACTTGTTTATAATATTGCTAAAGAGCGGGTTTCATGATTTAGGTCTATGGTTTATTGCCTTTTTAAAGTTCACAACGAGCATTTTGTCATAATCACAGCCATGTAAAAATTCCCTAAGTTTAAACTGTATGTGGACTTACTTGACAGAGATTAGGCCGTTAGGAGAGAGTCGTTGCATAATTTTCTGAAACTTTGGATATTGATATTTATCTTTAATTAAAAACCTTTAAAATGCCAGGAGTCAGTTCTTGGGGATTTTATGTGAATATTCTCAGTTAAGGGGCATGAGAAAATGTAATGATCAGGTGTTCCCTGTTCCCCACATATACAGATGGGCCGGGTTCGAATCCCAAAGAAGGCATGATTGTAACTGTACGTCCCTTCATAGGAGACGATGGTGGCCCACCTATTAGATGCTTTCATAATAAAGAGACCACCACATCTGGCCTTATATAGATTAATGGACTGTGTTATACTGTAACTGTTCACAATCTGCATTTGAAGAAAAAAAAAATATCCTGATATTGGTATAGCTCGATCACTTTTTTAGGAATAATTAAATTATTTCATCTAGTCAAATAGGACATTATCTTTGAAATAATCACTAACAGCTGTATTTTAATAACTTGTAATATTTCCTATATGATGCAAACAATATAGATATATTTTAATTACAATACATAATAATGCATATAAATGTTAGCTTATTTTCCTTTTCATTGAAAGATTTGTTATGGTAATCTGTTTTTACAGTTTCTGTTCCATTCCCATTTTAACTCTAATTCTTGAAACTATCTACAGATTTTGTTCCTTTCATGAAAATTCCAATTTACCCCTTTTAGTAAAAGATGGCTGAAGAAAGTCAGTGTTAATCAGAATTCACATTCCTTTCTGTTTGCTAGCTGGTAACAGACTTGCTTAAAGGTTTATGGTTGTATCCTCTTGTAAGCTGAATTTTCGATTCATTCTGGTTGCAGT